TGTCTGCACTCCCAGTTTATAAATGGATACCATTTTATGATTAGAGCTGCATGTATTATTCAAATACAGTATGAGTTTAATGTGGAAATGATAGGATGACATAAGAGTGCATCAGTTGGCAGTATAACATGAGGGTATTGACTGATTTGAGTGCATTGACTGAATACAATTCTAAACTGACAGATAAATGGGAATGACATATCTCATTCTGCTCCTTTTTGATATTCATAGAACTCTCATACAGGAGAGCTACAATAGTGGTGACATTAAAATATCACAGATTTGATAGAACATTTGTTGTATGTTTTAAATAAAGCACTTGTAGGGGATATGGTACAAAACAAACATGAAGAAAAGCCACAAATACAATTGTGGCCACTGTTGACTCCCCTGCCTAGGTCCAGTGCTCCACTCTATTCTCAGGCACTGCTAGTCAGGGCGGTGTCGCCCTCATCACCGCCTTAGGGGGATGGGGGCCCACATCGCCCTGTGGGATTCACTAGCACCAATCATCTTCATCACTGTCACTGTGGCGCACCCCTGGGGCCGCCCTTCTGGGTGCCCCAGCACCTGCTGCACCAACTGGGGCAGGTAGTCGTGGCACTGCACGGTCCCGCCCTGGTTTGTACCCATTAGGCACTGCTGGTGAGGGCAGCTGACGAGTACCCCGCCCAATGGCTACTGCCTGTTCAAAACTAAGTGGCTCCTCTGGCCGCCGCTCGTATGGATATTGGTCTCTGATTGGCGCCATTGGCGGGCGGCGAAGTGCACCTGGTGGTAAAATTTTTCCAGGGGGGGGCACACGGGGTCGAGCGCTCCCTTCTGTAATGGGTGGAGTCCTTCTCTCTCGGAACACTGGTGGCATTTCTAACTTGGGCACATGTGTGGGCGAGGCATTCAGCTTGGGAAAGTTGATAGGTTGTGATCTAGTGGGTGACTTGCCCCCAGGAAGGGTGTGATGACTTACAGGTTGATGTCCTGGCAGAGGTTGGGATGGCTGAGGACCCAGGTGGAGTGTTGATGGTTTATTAGGTGTGGGGGGTAGTCGCCGGCCACCACCTCGCCTCTGTGGTATTGTAGGATAGCTAGAGCCTGCACGCCGGTGTGGGGAAGGACTACGTGATCGTCGATCTAAAGACAATGTGCCACAATATTCTAAAGTGCGACCACGGCGTCTTGCTGCCCCTGAAAGTCCAGTATGTGGTGAGGGACTACGAGAGCGAGCATCCAGTCTTGTGGTCATGTAGTGACGGTCTGGGCTGTTCGAAGCAGAGCGAATATCCCGCATACCCCACGGTCGTGGAGGAAAGGCCTCGTGGTGCCGACTAGGACTGCGGCCTCGTAACGGAGAGATTATTCCGTAATCATCGCCATGCAGCTTTCCTGTAATATCAAAATTGGTCACATACGTACTGACAAACTGATATGATAAGTTTCCCACAGCACATGAGCTTATATCATTTAGTGCTTCAATATTTATAGCTAAAGAACCGTACAGTCAAAATAGAGATGACTTTTCATATTAAAAGCAATTAATGCAAAGAAAGCGAATAATTTATTTCTTATGAGACTACTATGGTATATGGTAACAAGCAATACAATACTAATATATGCATCGCATTCAACTTTTCAATATATATATATAGTTCTTATAATACAAGGAATCAGAAATACTGATATAATAACAATCATCTGGTATGTATGCTGAAGCATTTCCTCATGAAATTAGCTCAGTGTAAGGGCATACACAATCAGAAATCTACAGTATTTTATACAGATGAATGAGACTACCAAGGAAATCTAGAAGACAGCAGGCAGGAATGCACAACTGTTCAAAAAAAAAAAAATAAGAGAAAAAATAAAGTACAGTACATACTCTGAACATCTGATGCACAATGCTTATCATACCTATTTTGTTTACGTATCAACTACAAAATTATTTCAGAATCACATTCTAAAAGCATAATCCTTTATGTATTTAGTTTTTTAAAACATGTCAAGAAAACTACTGAGCACAACAGGTTCTTGCTAGTTGGAAAATGTTGGGATTTCAAATTTTGCAAAGGTTTTATTAAGTTACAAATGTCTGGCCAGAGCTGAGGCTCAAGAGCTATCCTTAGATGAATATGTATTATAAAATTTAAAAACTGGCTTATGAAAGGCTTGGGAGATGCAGGACTCCCCTACAATGGGTTTAAGCTCTACCCATTATGTGATTTCAGTAAACATTCTGCATCAGTAAAAACAGTAGTGATGAAGCAAAAGACAGTAACTGCAAACTTTGATGGTGATACTATGTGTCTGGTAGCTTGTATCCTTGTGTCATACAAATTATTAACACTGTGGAGATGCTTGAAGCAAATGCCAAGTAACTCTAACTGAATTTACTTCAGTTATATTTAATTAACAATACCTGCATTTACAATAAAGTTTAAAAACATGATAAGTGAAGAAATGGAGTTTTCATAGAAACTGGCACCTAAACCAATTCTTTTCAGCATGTTTTATTTCAAAATATTCTAAACTACATTGTTATACAAGGGTGTGGACACCATGCATGTGGAATGTGCATCTCAAAATAAAAAAAACAAAACAAAATAAGTGAAGTAGATTCAATATTTTTCCTTAGTTATGCTTTCATCTAATTTCAAAGTTAATGCCATTTCATATTTAATTAAGGAAATACGTACAACCATATGAACATATTTTAGAGCTCTCGTGACTCAAAATCAAAACCAGCCATAATCTATATACAGTAGATACGATTTGGCACAATTGGGTTATAGCACGATTGATGAATTGCGGCACAATCTTATACAACACTTCATAAAAGTAACTGAAAATGATTCAGCTCTTGGGAGGGGAAAAAATTTTGAGCGCGCGGTTGCCCGCAGGATTGGGTATGGGTTGCACCACTGAGTCAATGGGGGAGACCTACTGCCATCCCCCGCCACTGCCACCACCCTCCTGACTGACTGACTTGACTGATTTACTGACTTGACTGATTTACTAACTGACTGACTGATTTACTTACTGACTTGACTGATTTACTGACTGACTTGACTGATTTACTGACTGACTGACTGACTTACTGACTTGACTGACTTAAAGTTAGACTTTTTCACTGAAGAGGACCCTGAAACGGTGTTTAGAGCAACTGATGCCTTACTGTCAGTTGTATAATGTATTGCTGGGTAAAATAGAACAGAAATCCATTACAGAATTATGCATACTCCAGTACAACCATCGACTTCAGTACCAGAACCTCTACCATCCAACTCAGCCCAGTAGGGCCACAGCGTAACTCCACAATCATCCACAAACACCAGCACCCACAATTTATGGTAAGAAATACTATTATTTCTGTTTCATTTGTAATCTTAAGCAGTAATAACATAATACATCACAACAATGAACTACAATTACATATTCACTTTTATTTTTGTATGATGTGAAGGCTTAAAAAAAAGTTGCTTGGCTTTTTTGGGGCACCCAGAAACGTAACCCTATTTTTCCCATGAGTTCTTCAGTTCATCTAACACGGTTTTTACCTAAAGCGATATTTTCAGGAACGTAACTACCATGTTAAATGACAGTCTACTGTATTCTTCTATGGATTTACTTGATCACATTTGAATTTTCTTCAGTTAAGCCTTGTTAAAAATGTTATAGTATTATAAGTCAATGCCAGAAGAACATTACAGTATTTAAGGAAGTATGCAAATATTTCTTGCATAATTTAGTTACATTTTATACACCCTGTGGTAACGGCAGTAACTGTCATCCAACAAATTTTTCCTCTTTCCTCCAACCATATTCCTTGTCTCCAAACTCATATAAGGCTTTTCAGAAGCTTGTTTTAAAATGCCTACCTTTACTTAGAGTTTATTCTTAGTATACTTTTAAAATAAAGGGCTTTGAAACTCTGATGAGAAACATGAGAAAGTTTATAATATTTACTTTGTACATATTTTTAATTTGGTTTTAAGAAACTTTTGTATACATAAAAATATAATAGTTTAATATAAAACAACTACAAAGGATTATTTTTTTTTAACATGTCGGCCGTTTCCCACCAAGGCAGGGTGACCCAAAAAGAAAGAAAAAAAAAAGAAAGAAAAAACTTTTATTATCATTCAATACTTTCACCATCACTCATACATAATCACTGTCTTTGAAGAGGTGCTCACATATGACAGGTTGGCAGACAGCAACTGCCCAGGGAGGTACTACCATACTGATAAGTGAGTGTAAAACAGAAGCCTGTATTTGTTTTACATGATGGTAGGATTGTCGGTGTTCTTCTTCTGTCTCATAAACATGTAAGATTTCAGATACATCTTGTTATATTTTTATTATTATCACACCGGCCGATTCCCACCAAGGCAGGGTGGCCCGAAAAAGAAAAACTTTCACCATCATTCACTCCATCACTGTCTTGCCAGAAGGGTGCTTTACACTACAGTTTTTAAACTGCAACATTAACACCCCTCCTTCAGAGTGCAGGCACTGTACTTCCCATCTCCAGGACTCAAGTCCGGCCTGCCGGTTTCCCTGAATCCCTTCATAAATGTTACTTTGCTCACACTCCAACAGCACGTCAAGTATTAAAAACCATTTGTCTCCATTCACTCCTATCAAACACGCTCACGCATGCCTGCTGGAAGTCCAAGCCCCTCGCACACAAAACCTCCTTTACCCCCTCCCTCCAACCCTTCCTAGGCCGACCCCTACCCCGCCTTCCTTCCACTACAGACTGATACACTCTTGAAGTCATTCTGTTTCGCTCCATTCTCTCTACATGTCCGAACCACCTCAACAGTACATGCACTACACATGCATGTACTGTACATGTTTTTGTATATACAGTCATCTGAGTTTTCTTTGATTTTATCTTAATAGTTCTTGTTCTTATTACTTTTCCTTTCATATCCATGGGGAAGTGGAATAAGAATCTTTTCTCCATGAGCCATGCGTGTGTTGTAAAAGTCAACTAAAATGCCAGGAGCAATGGGCTAGTAACCCCTTTTCCCATATAGCCTACTAAAAAGAAAAAGAAGAAAACTGTTAAAGGATTAATATGGCATCATAAACTAAAGTAGGTCAATACTCTTTGAGTAACTGCCATATTTATGTAACATATAAGAAAGTGATATCGACTTGGTCTCAAGGATTCCTGTTTTAAGGAATTAGATTTTTTGCACATTCCAAGAAGAATTCTGGTGTCCTGTTACTTCACTGATAGCACAGGTAACATTTTTTTCATATGAATATGCTTTTTGAACTGAATAAATAATTTTTTATCTAAAGAATCTCAAAAACTGTTTAAAATTATTAGATAAATATTTACAATTTTTGTTTTGTAATAATTAACAGTGATTAGTAATTCAGGGGATGTAGGATCAATTAGCCAAGAACAAATACTTTTATGCTGTTGCTTATACTCTGAGAGCTTTGATTTCCCGGATAAATGTAAGCTACTCAATATTTTTTTAATTTCACGTGAATACATTCCAGGCACAGCTTTAAAGACATTAATATTAAAGGTATAAAATTTGTATACACAAGCAAACAGCATTCAGAGGAAGAGTCAAAGAACTATAAGCAAACCATGTGCTGTCTTGCTCAAGCCATCTATTGTACTTCTAACTTAAGCCATCTATTGTATTTCTAACTTAAGCCATCTATTGTACTTCTAACATAGGCTTATAATTTTTCTTTGAATATAACTAGAAATGCACTCTGAAAGGTGATGATGGGGTAAAAAGACATATGCAATATGATGTTCCCATACTTAGGCCATTTCATATCTTAAAAAGCAAGGCATTTTCATGGACATCTGTGGACAGCATCATTAATGTCAGCTCTAAATTTATAAAGGAAAATATAGAACATCATGCCAAAATTAACTTGAAAAGACTGTATATAAATCATCACAGATCCATGAAAAAATAAAAAGTACAAAACACTGACCTTTTATCTCTGACAAATGGTGACACAAATGCATGGAGACAGTAGGATTTGCAAGGGTAAACAGGGAGTGAAATTACTACAAGAAAAAACAAATTAACTGTACTTAGAGGTACACATTTAACATACCATAACTGTATACACTACTGAATGTTTTACAGATGGACTCCCTTTTGTCCCTTGAGAGTTGTTAGCAATTTAGAAAATGCTGAATAATTTTAACAATTAATGATACTGAAAATAATGAATATAATGTTAATGAAGAGAGGAAGGCAGTGATTTCTTGTATTGGGAAGGAAAGTATAACACCTTTTAGGAGTGAGAAAGAATAAGGAGTGAGTCTGGGAAAGGTGTGTTAGACAGTGGACAGAATGAAATAGGCTTAAACAGCTGGGGTAGACGGAATTAAGACAAATGTTAAAAGTAGGTGAGAGGTAGTCTTGGAATGGATGGTGTATTTGTTCAACATATGCATTAAAGGGGTAAAGATACCTAGAGATTAGCAGAGAGCATGCATAGTTTCTATGTATAAGGGAAAAGGGGATAAAAGAAAGTGTAAGAAATAAGCCTGTTGAGTATATTGAGTAAAGTGTATAGTAGACTTGTTACTGAAAGAATTATAGGTAAGATAGAGTAGGACTGCAGAGGAACAAGGAGGTCTTATGAAGGGTAGGGGATGTGTAGACAAAGTGTTTACAGTGAAGCACATTAATGAACAATACGTAGATAAAGGTAAGAAACTTCTAATTGCATTTATGGATTTAGAAAAGGCATAGTTAGTAAAGAGCTTTTATGTGGATAGTGAGGTTAAGGTTAAGGTATGTAGGCAAGAGGAAGATTATTTTCCAGTTGAAGTAGGTCTTAGACAGGGATGTGTGATGTCACCATGGTTGTTTAACATATTTATAGAAAGGGTTGTAAAAGAAGTGAATCCAAGGGTGATAGAGAGAGGTGTGGGACTGAAAGATAGTAAATTTAGTATGGAGTGGAAAGTGTCACAGTTGATTTCTGCCAATGACATGGGTCTTTTGGGAGATTCAGTGGAAGAAGGCTGGTGTGTTAAAAGAAAAATCACATCCTTTCAGGAGGGACATCTACCAACAGTTATATTTCACAGAGTAGCTAACTACAAATAGTGTGCTGAAAGAGCCTAACATTTCTAGAGGTATGATATGCCAGACATTCAGATAACAATCACAGCAAACAAAAAAGGTTATATACATGGAAGGACTCACTATGTGGAAGTGATACACAGTTCATCCTATGCAGATACAGAGGCCACAATGTACTGGGTAAACTTGCATCTATTTTTATAAATAATCAGAGCCATTTGAGTAACGAACTTAGTTTTTATGGTTTAAAAAAAAAATAGCTTTTAAAATTATGAAATGCATTAACAAAGACGTTACACTGTTCAGCATTTTCTAAACTCTTTAACAAACAAAAATGCTTTGTGGTACTGGGTACATGCCTAACACTGCAGGGTCATGTAATAATGCCATTTGTCATTCTAGCAAGAACAAATTCTTTTTCTGGGGACAATTATTTGTATTTTTATACTAATTTAATTACAAAAAACAAACAATTCACTAGCTAACATTGAAATAACTATGGAGGATTTTAAAATAAAGCATCTTTTATCTATATGTAACAATGTCTAGTAATACAGTAATTATAAATGTAATTTTCCCCATATTTTATAATGTTGTTATTAGATACATTTTATTTTGATAAATGTACAGACTACTTTTACTGGGAAATAATCTCCCACTCTCCTGCATACTCTAATCTGAGCCTCAGTACCCTTGTAACAACTTTTTACTCGAGGTAGGTTATTGAAAGCAGTGAAAAGTTTTTACAAGGACAGTGAGCTTCAGGTAAAGTGTGTGTAGGAGAGAGGGAGATTATTTCCCGGTAAAAGTAGGCCTTAGACAAGGATGTGTGATGTCACCATGGTTGTTCAGTATATTTATAGATGGGGTTGTAAGAGAAGCGAATGCTCCAGTGTTGGCAAGAGGTTTGGGGTTAAAAGATAAAGAATCTAACACAAAGTGGAAGTTGTCACAGTTGCTCTTTGCTGATGACACTGTGCTTTCAGGAGCTTCTGAAGAGAAGTTGCAGAGGTTGGATGAGTTTGTATAGGAAAGAGTAAGGTGGTGATGATGACAAAAAAATTAGGTAACGAAAGATTGGATATCAGGTTGGAGGGAGGTAGTATGGAGGAGGTGAATGTATTCAGACATTTAGGAGTAGATTTATCAGCAGATGGGTCTATGAAAGATGAGGTGAATTATAGAACTGACGAGGGGAAAAAGGTGAGTGGTGCACTGAGGAGTCTGTGGAGACAAAGAACTTTGTCCATGGAAGCAATGAGGGGAATGTTGGAGAGTATAGTTATACCAACGCTCTTATATGAGTGTGAAGCATGGGTGGTGAATGTTGCAACATGGAGAAGGCAGGAGGTAGTGGAGATGTCATGTCTGAGGGCAATGTGTGGTGTGAATATAATGCAGGGAATTCATAGTTTGGAAATTAGGAGGTGCGAGATTACCAAAACTATTATCCAGAGGGCTGAGGATGGGTTGTTGAGGTGGTTCAAACATGTAGAGAGGATGAAACAAAATAGAATGACTTCAAGAGTGTATAAATCTATAGTGGAGGGAAGGCGGGGTAGAGGTCGGCCTAGGAAAGGTTGGAGGGAGGGCATAAAGGAGGTTTAGTGTGCGAGGGGCTTGGACTTTCAGCAAGCATGCGTGAGCATGTTAGATAGAACCAAATGAAGATTTAACGCGCTGTTGGACTGTGAGCAGGGTAATGTTTATGGAGGGATTCAGGGAAACCGGCAGGCTGGACTCGAGTCCTGGAGATGGGAAGTACAATGCCTGCACTCTGAAGGAAGGGCGTTAATGTTGCAGTTTTAAAATTGTAGTGTAAGTGTGCCTCTGGCAAGACAATGATGGAGTGAATGATGGTTAAAGTTTTTCTTTTTTGGGCCACCCTACATTGGTGAGAAATGGCCGATGTGTTAATAAAATAAATAAAATAAAAATGTATAGACCAAAAGAATTACATTTTTATTAATAAAGTTACCATAGATCAGATGCATTATTCATCATTAATATACTAAAGATACTATAACTGAGGCTGTTATGTTATTATTTTTCCTACGCAAGCAATTTACAATCCGGGCAGCACAGCACTGCAAGAGTACAGTATACTCTATAAATTTCCATTTCTGGGTTAAAAATATAAATTAAGCATGATTTGTACATTCTTATAATGACAAATGAGATTATCCCTAGCTTAGTTCAGTAGCGAATATAAAGAGAATTTCTTTGCAATCAACATAAAAAACTTTGTGTACAGGTATATATAAATAAAATTTAAATAAATTTTTTTAATTCAAAATATAAAAAAATGTAAATAATCAAATGGTAAAATGATATAGTACTGTTAACATGATACGTGTTCTATGATGAAGTTATTCTAAAGAAACCAACTGCACTTTTTATATAGCAACACATTTTCATAGCAATCAAAATCTGATGCAGAAGCATTTCTGGATATCAATAATTAAGTAGTCTTTGAATAGACTTTAATAATGTCTTTCAATAGATAGTTGCTAAACTTATAAAAAATTCATTGTCTAAAATAATGAAAAAAAAAATCTTCAGCAACTGAACCTTGAGGGACATGACCCTGCAGATTACATACCTCTTCACAATTTTGATGGTGTCCTTGCCCTGGCTGTCCCAATTACCTACCTCGTAGCCTACCTCTCTTGTGGATGTTATCATACTTGACGAGATCCACCACATCACTGACAGCATCACTGAAGCCAATGTCATGGGGTTGCTGGCTAGGTCTTCTCGGTGAGGGACTCCGCCTAACAGGTGTTAAAGACTGCATTAGTCTCACATATATATAATCAACTTCTAAAGATCATCAGAGGGTTTATCAGTGAGGCATTCTCAGGTAACTGCTCTGTTCTTTAGAAACAAAAAAGTATACAATAGTCCCCCATAAGTACAGGGGATACACTCCAAGACCTACAGTGGATACCTGAAATCGTGGATAGTAGTGAACCCTACATGTACACAAGTCATTTTTCCTTTACATACATACCTATGATAAAGTTTAATTGATAAATTAAGCAAAATAAGTCAAGACTTAGCACTTTTTAACCGATGGGAAGCATTTCACGGCTTCTCTTAGGCTCTGAGGCCATTAAGCAAAATTAAGGGTTATTTTTCTGCCACAGCAAACAGTGGATAACTGAAACTATGCATACTAAATCTGTGGATATGGTGGTCCTACTGTATATTATTTAGCTTCCAGTATTAGAACAATTTAATGCTAAGTAGTATATTTTAAGATTACTTATTTATATAAAAAGTTATTTTCTAAAACAAAATAAAAATTACTGTATGCACTGATATAGCCTCTCCTCACTTAACAACAGAGTTCAGTTCTTAAGACCATGTCAGTAAACGAATTCATCACTAAGTGAGGAGCATACTATGATGGTAGTGGGTTTGTGTCAACCATCTTTGATATTTTAATGTTATCTCTGCACTAATTATAACATTACTGGTATATTTTTAAATGTTTATACAGTAATGTACTGTATACTGTAATAAACAGAATAGAGGAAATCAGCTCTAATATACAATATTTAGGCATGCATACTGGTCAGAGAGCCTGTCATAACTCCAAGGTGTCGGTAAATGAGTACGTCGCTAAGTGAGGAGAGGCTGTATTTCTCTATGGTGCCTGTATAGTACTTAACTTGAATTGTATATAGCACAATGTACTGTACCTACCTATATTAAGTATAAACAAACTCCCATCCCAACTATTGCCTGAGCAGAGTACAACTGTGAAGTTTTAAGCTTCTTTAATAGATGCACTCTCAGACAGACAACAATTATTATCATTATTATTGCTGTTTATCCTTCTGTGTATAAGAGGAATTTTTCGTAAAGAACACTGATTAAATTGTAATTTTCTCCAATCTTTTGTAATCTAACTTAAATATATTGTCTGGAAAATAATTTATTATTTATAATAATTTTCTCTGGATTTGTGTGACTATGCACAACTTATCAGACTCACCCATAGTAACACTTCTCTTTTCTACATACTCATTCTCTATTCTTCTGCCTTTATAACCTTTATAATATACTGCAGTGTTTCTGAAGTCAATAAGACATCCTTATCACTCACAGAAAGCTTAATTTTCTAAATGAATTGTCAGCCAAAAGCTCTGTAATAACTGTATACTGTAGAAAAAATGGTATTAGTCATACATGAAAATATTAATTAAAAAATTGAAATTATGTTATGCCTTCAGTTAATGATTACTGAAATGCAATCACATTCTAGATCACACTGTACCAATATGATCTAGAATGTAGAACCATTAGTGATGAAGACCCAGGAAATGAGCCAGTTTCAAAACCCACAGGCACAGCTAGGTTAGCAGAGTTGTCAGCTTCACTTAAAGAATACTGATAAAATATTACTACTTTCCTGCATATTAGTGATACAGAAAATCCCTTACTCAGAACTTCTATCTTTTTCTTGCTTTATTCCTTACTTTTCAAATCCTCTTCTGTCAAATAACTAAATTTTCCAAAAATGATGTGAGTAGTGCTTTAGGTTCAAACACTTGAAAATTAAGAAACATCAAGAAGCGATATGCTTTGGTAAGTTTTAAAAAGGGGACAATATGAACACCTATAAGAAATATTATGAGCATCATAATAGAAGAAACGAAGATTTCCATGGGGCTTAAATCATGATACCTACAATATTAGAATTGCATCATTAACCCTGAGGAAAGGTTACTCAGATTTGAACAAAAAGCAAGTAATTAAAAATTCTTATTACGTATATGAAAATCAGCAGGTACCTGTGAGGAGGTGTAGGTGACTGGAAGCCTCTGGCGGGTGACGGTGACCGTGATCTATACCTATTAATTGGGTATTCATCAGGTCGCAAGTGACGACCACCATCATCAGAGGCTAAGGACCCTCTTCTAGATGCCTGTTGTACTACCTCCGCCAGCTCCAGCCCCGCCTTCAAAAATACTCCATGTTATAATAACATCAAAGAAGCACCTTTCATACTGTGTATCACCAACACAGATTCTTCACTGGGAGAAGCATGATAAATATTGGGTAACTTATAATACAGACATTATGATAAAGTCTTGAACCTATAACTGTGAACACTGTATTTCATGCAGTACATACTTATTAAACGTGAATATCTATTGGTGCTCCTGAATTTTTGTTTGCATCAATATTTTCCAGCACAAATTTATATCAGAGAAATATGTACATAATCAGAATTTAATAATTTGCCCTCTGACCCCAGGTGAAGATCTTCAGTAGGCAATGCAGTACATATGGCAGTTAGAATGGGATATATATATATATATATATATATATATATATATATATATATATATATATTATATATTATATATATATATATATATATTATATATATATATATATATATAATATATAAACACGCACACACACGTTTTTTAATTCCTTCTACGAAAGAAAACTTTGGCACTAACTCATCTTTCAAACATAAATGTTAATTTTTAATGCCACAAAAATGGAAAAATAACATGTGAGGAAAACCCTATGGCAAAGTATCTTCTAATATCTTATTTTATCTTTCCAGTGGCACTGAAGATAAACTTTTATATCTGAAAAACTATGATAAAGATTCATATTTATCCATATCAAATTTTTTACATGTTACGCTGAACCTAATGAGTTGGCTTATTTGGCAAGAACTGTTTTGCTGTAACTCAGTAAAAATCAGCCTGAACATCACAAAATTAATAAACAGTACAGTTTTTCTGTTGATACTACTTCCTGCTGCATACATGAAATCCCTTTAATCCTCAAAATTTAAAAACAAAACATTTACTCTTTAGTTTCTCCACCTTTATATCTAATATCTTACATCCTTCACTCATAAATGCCAAGTCTTATTGTTCCCTATCTTCTCCTACCATAGTTATCTCTCTCCAAAACTGTTTATTCTCAGCAAAGATGGCTGACATAAATTCACAAATTCTTTTTTATAATCTCTTACAAAATTTTTTTTCCTCTATGTAGGCTTCTTAAATCATGTGCTTCACTGAGGTCCAATTTTTAGAAGCATTATGTGTGTCTTGTTTTTTTTTGACAGTTACCTACAAAGCAGGTATGAGTTGTATAATGAAACTATCAAGCAGAAGCAGCTAACTGTATACACTACAATGGTTAAACCATCCAGAATCAAAGCTCTCAAATGCAAGCTATTCATTCTGCTTACATGTTTTTTAGTAAGACCTTTTTCCTTATCAACAGTCTACTAAGCAGTGCACCTTTCTTTCTTTTTTGCTCAATATACATATCATCAATTTTTCTGTCTTATGTAGTTGTACTGACCTTTGATATTCTTTTCAGCAGGTTACATTGCAAGCTCTTGTTGAAGATTGAGACACTTATGCAACATATGAGAATCTTTATTAAGGAAATGTTTTGCCACACAGTGGCTTTATCAGTCCGATACAAATCAGAGAGGAGAAAAGAGAGGAGGAATTCAAGGTAATCAGTCCCTCAGTCTGGAATCGATGTGTTCAGTCCATCACTCTTGTCCAACCTTTGGACGAAGACCTACTTACACTAGTTGATGGTTCCACTGTGATCCCACCTCCTGCTTCAATTCACCTGACTACAGTATATAAGCCACTTCTCCAGCCATATGCTGTACTTTCTATGAGTGATGGACTGAACACATTGATTCCAGGCTGAGGGACTGATTACACTTCAAACTCCTCTTCTCCTTACCCCATTCAGCTTGGTATTGGACTGATTAAGCCACTGTGTGCAAAACATTTCCTTAATAAAGTTTCCAATATGTTGCACAAGTGTCTCAATCTTCAACTTGTGGGTTTTCAAAACTATTTATCACAAGCTCTTGTAATTATCCTTTTCTAAAATTGAATGAACTGTTCATTCTCTAACACAAATGCACTGTCTCCATGAACTGTGTATTGTCTGTTAGAACATTAATCACCTCTGGCTTTTCAAAACAGGCATAGTTTCATGAAGAATAAAAAAGCACGCTACTTTGACTGGAACAACACACAAATAACCCACATATAGGAGAATGAAACTTGTGATGACATCCTGGTTCAACTTGGATCATCAACTAGTCACAAAGTTTCATTCTGATATGTGTGGGTTATTTGTGTATAGTTTCATTGCTTTATAGTACTTCTTAGAACCTGCAGTAACACTAGTATTATTTTCAGTGCCATGGTTAATAGCCAGAGACAAGTTGGGGTCTTAAAAACATAAAAATAAAGTGAAAAACATGAAGAGTATGGTATAGGACACATCCAAGAAGCAACTGATATCATGGCTAGTTGTCTACATCAAGGAGTTAAGTTAATCCTTTCTTTAAAATAATGGGTGCACTCAAGGCATGGAAAGGAATACCCCACTGCATGATTAAACCAGATTTTGTGCAAAAGAGTGTGTGCTTATTTTCCCCAAACTTTATGGTGCAATTGCACAGTCGCTTTCCCACAAAATGTGAACTTATGAACAAAATTTCAATTAAGATTCACTAACAATGCAATTTGTGATAACAGAATGTGAGAGTCTACACTAACTTCCGGATTTCATTCAAAAATGGTTTGATGGATTTACCGTGCCCAAGTTTTTTCTTTCTGGTTATTCTTCAGAATGTCAATATTAGAGATTAGAGCAGGGGTTCACAACCTGGGGTACACACACAATCCCAGGGGGTGCAAGATGGCATTTCAAAGCTTATTTTTTTAATTCAATTTGTTACCAGCAGTATTGTATTTGGTTGAATTTGTGATTCAAATTATTATTATTATTATTATTATTATTATTATTATTATTATTATTATTATTATTATTATTATTATTATAATAAAAAAAAAGCGTGAGACGGGCTGGCGATTCGAAAATCATCGCACCATAGAGGGAGAGGCCGGAAGCATAGTCAAAGGAGAGCGGAGGTCAGACAAATTGAAGGAGTCAGTGGAAGCCCCGGTACCTGAAGCGGGTGAGGAAACAGTACCAGCAGGAGGTACAGGGACCTTGGGAGTGTCCAAAGAGTGGCCAAAAGACGAGGCGAGGTCAGAACAGGATGCGGTAACAATAAGGGGCCCGGGGGTACCAGGTTCATGGATTGGGTTCTCCATGGTTAGGTTACTTCTTTCTTTTTGTTTTTAAGAAAAAAAAGAAAGAAGAAAAGAAAATAAAAATAAAAAAAAAGAATAAAAAAAGGGGGGACCAGGGAGGGATAGTTCCTAGGAGGAATGAAAGGGCCAGAAATCTCCCTCCGCGCCCAAGAGGACCTCAGCACCGCAAGTAGCGCAGATGCAGCATGGAACCCGTGCCATACCCAACCCTTCATGCCAGGAAACCAGCAATCCGGGATAGCAACCTCACATCTGTCAAGCTACCTCGGTGGACAAAAGAGAGGGCAGCCGGATATCCGCCACAAAGCATACCTCCTTCAGCCACCACCCCCGGAATCCGAAAGGTGGCTTCCAGAGATACACCCGTCGCCTGAAAGACACCCAAAGCCACCCTCCAGGATACCGGAGAGGGATCGGGACATCCCCAGGCGATCCAGAACCCACGGCAAACTACGCCACTGCCAAGAACCTCAACGGAATGGGATAGACTCCGGTACCCTTCCCCCTACCTATGAACTAGTGTGCCTGTGGGAAAAATCCCAAAGGCCAAAAAGAGGAAGGGCAAAAGGGAGGGGTGGGGAGGAGGAGGAGGAAAGGAAAAAGGGGAGGATGGGGAGGATGGAATAGGGAAGGGGGGATTGGGGGGTAATTAGGTTCGGTCTGAGGAAGGAGACCGACAGGTCTAATTCCTCAGACCAAGAGCCTCTTCACCGTGCCAAGGAGCCCCCCTTGAAGAGGTTGTGATTCAAAAATTAGAAATTTGACGACTTCATCTTCAACTGTGATATAACTTTTGTAGGATTGTAACGTAATTCATACATTTCCTAGGGGTGGGAGCAGGGCATAGAAAAGGTTGGGAACCTCTGGATTAGAGTGATATTTAAATAGACCAGTTTTCTCAAACAAAAACATGAGTCCACATCTGCAACAACACATTAGAACAAACTTATGCATTTAATGATATATTTTCTAATTAACATAATATAGGAATTTTTAATTCTGCAAAATCTACAGTAATTCTGAAACATCCCCATCTTATCTGTGGTCAGGCTAAATTTGGTTAGTACATTTTTACTTAGGTTTAATTAAATGTATTAATTCTGCAATGTTCAGACCTATTTTTGTAGTAATCACAGCAATAAGTTTGCACTGATAATTACATTATAAGCCAAGTTTGCACACTTTACATTAGAAATATGGCATCATATTATATATAGTATATACATATATATTATATATATATATATATACATGTATATATATATATATATATATATATATATATATATATATATATATATATATATATATATATATATATATATATATATATATATATATATATATATATTTTTAATTTATTTATTTTATATACATAAATACACACAGACACACAGATATCAAGTCAGTATTTAGGACCTATACTTACACTGGTATGGTACATAAATACACTGCATATATGTGCATGTGTTTGTGTATATGAAACTAAAAAAAATAATAAAAACAAAAATGTTGGGATTTTTAGTATTATCAACTGGAGTATCTGACAGCTAGATTATAAAACAATTCCACTATATAAGTATAGTGTTTCTGGCAGAAAAGGGATCATAGCATAATTATACCATACTGGTGCTCTTCTAACTTTCACAAACCCATGTTAGGGGTATGTCCTTTTAACTTTCACAAGATCTTTATTATTTCTGGCAGACATAACTCATAGTAAGTTTATTGACTATAATAAAATGTCTTAAAGCAAATATTGACCCTCACTCTTTACTATATACTGTACACTCTTTTTTTTTTTTTTTTTTTTTTTTTTTTACCTTCT